TCATTTTTTAACAAATGACTGCAAAATTGTACAAGTTATATATCAGAGGTGAAACGATCACATTCAGCCTGAACGGTGGTGCTAAGATCAGCGTTTTCAGACAAACTGAAGTCTGTAATTTTAGTCATTTAGTCAGAAATGGCCAACAAATTTTAAAACTTTCTGAAAAGAATCAGATTTTATTTGATTAGATAGACAAACTTAGCGACATGGAAACCATTGAAAACCCTCAAAGTTGACTAATTACTGAGTTAAAATGTTCTAAGAATAAATATTTAAAGTTATTTAGATATTTAGACGTTGCAGTGTACGAATTGTACCTGAATGCACCATAAAAGCGGATTTTGGGTCGCTTCAACGCCGCAGGCGGCTGGATTCGGACTTTAGCTGATGTTTTTTTCAGCATGAATGATGTTTGAATTAAATCTGGAGCAAATTCATCTTAGGGGTTAGCGTTAGGGGTTAGGGGTAAGGGCTTAGGGTTGGAGTTAGGCAGAAGCAGCTGTGATACTTTGCTGCTCAGATCCTGTTGTTGGTCAGTCACTCCATTTTAGTTATTTATGCACTTTTTCTGAAAATGGTGTATAAATCACCTTTTTTCATGATTCTTCAGCAAAATGGGGTAAAAACCAGAGAAGCAGCGTTTTGAGTAGAAAATATCCGATAAATATTTCTGAAATATTTCCGGTAAAAGCCCAGTGATATTTGATTTTAATGAGTCAAATCTCATTACAAATGACACCAACCAGCTGCTGGTTTAAAGAAATGGGAGATTATCTGCGGATGAACTTTGCGGTTTTTGGTTATGTTTTAACGTTAAAGTTTACTCCACTTATTCTTACTGCAAATAAATTTGATGCAATTTTAGGCTGAAATATGAGGGATATGTTTCACTGGACCTTCACGTCTCTAAAGGAAATAAACACCAAGGTCAAACCTTTCCTGTTTGGCTGGAGCTGAAGTAGAGCCACATTTCCATCAGACTTTTGGATGCGTAAGTCGGACGTTCAGCTCCACTAACGTCTGCAGAACAGGAAGCAGTAAGTCCATGAACCTGCAGGTTTCCTCAGTGTGAATGCATGAGGCTGCAAAGAGCCTGTGATTTCAGAGCCGCTCTGCAGTTTCTCTGTTAATTTATGACAAGATGAAGACCAGTCCAAACTCTGCAGTTTAAACTCTAGAATGATCTGAACAGAAACGTGTTTTTATTGGTGGTTTTGGGTCTTTTGTACATTTTAACTCGTTTTCTTCAGATGATGAACAGAAATGTCATTTTTAATCCTCTTATGTGTCATTCAGTGAACATGTTTTAATTGTCCTGCCATTAACTTTTTCTTTAAATGTGACTCAGATTTAAAACATTCATATCAGCCAGACAGCCCATTATCTGTCCTTTATTAACTTGAACATAATAAGTCGTGAAGGAATGAAATATAATTAGAAGAGTAACAGGAGATTATTTGAACGGCGGTAGATATGAAACGCATGAGATTTGTCTTTTACTTTCTAAAGAGAGATCTAGTTTGCAGAATGAGGCGTTTAAGTGCCAGAGGGAAAATAAATAAAGCAGCAGCAGATTGTTAATGTGAGAAACTTTCTTCTTATAATGAGATAAAACTCAGTTAATAGAGAAAGTTTAAGTGTTTTATGATGGCTGAACTTCCATCTTCTCACTCCAAACATCCAGCAACTTGTTTCCATTTTACTGTTTCGACCTTTTCTGATTAAATGGGAACATTTGGGATTTAATGGGAAACTTCACCACTTTAATGAGATCCTGCTTCAGTATTTATTATCTTACTGGCAAACAAAACAGAACGAGTTTTTGTTCAACTAAACTGAGAGGTTTCAGAGGAGAGAAGATTGTTGTTTCTGCAGTCGGCCCAGTATAAACCAGTTCAGGCCACTGGGAGGCCTGGAGTTCCAGATTTATTTTAAATTAATGGCAGAATGACGATATTCAGAAAGAACAGAGGAAATGTTCCTCCTGCCCAGCAGCTCTGGCTCAGGGTCAGAATTAGGCGGCCAGTTTCTGGATGTTTGGTAAAGTTGTGGTAAAGAGACGGATCCAGTCTCTGGATCCGTTCAGAACCAAAGCTGAACGCGCTGCCAGCTGTGAGCTGCTGCTAAAGGCCTGCTGCTTCATCCAGGTGTGATCACCAAGTGGACAGACCACAAAAAGCAACTTTCACACATCCTGAGACGGAGCTGAGGCGTTTCCTTCACAAAGCCACGGTTGAGTCAGCAGATCTCGGCTCGCCATGCTCTCCGCCGGTGTCCTTCACTCCGCGTCGCTCGCCCTGATGAGTAGCTCTCTCTCCCTCCCTCCATTTCTAGTCGTCTCATCTTTCATTCCTGCGGCTTGTTAGGCCTCACACTGCTGACTTCAGGTCTAGACGTTTCCACTTCCCAAATGCAGAAGCCATTTCAGCTCCACAGTCCCATTAAGTTTCCCCAGCTCAGCGACTCGCTGAACTAACTTTGTGTGCAGGTATTGAATTCCTCCAGGCTGTTTGGTAATTGAATTGTTTGATTTTAAATGAGGTCCATGCAAACCGCCGCGCTGCCGTCTGGGTAATAGCGCACCTCAGACGGATTCTGCTGGAGAACAACCTGAGAATGACGGATTGGATAGACGGGAAGTGGTTGATGCGGAGGCAGGAAGTTTCAGCAGTGATACTTTACATGAATGATGCAAAGCTTTCTCCTCCATTATTGTCCTCCAGCGACTGAATTATGCAGGTAAACATGCGAGGCGGCGAGAGGGAGCGCAGATCAGCTGGACTGAAGTGGAGCAAGAGGAGTGTGTGTGTGTGTGTGTGTGTGTGTGTGTGTGTGTGTGTGTGTGTGTGTGTGTGTGTGTGTGTGTGTGTGTGTGTGTGTGTGTGTGTGTGTGTGTGTGTGTGTGTGTGTGTGTGTGTGCTGATCAGCTTTATAAAGGTAGGGCAGAGTGGGCTGAGACTGAACTGACAGATGAAAATGTGACTCAGAAAGTTTTGTGCTCGGGTTTGAAACGGCTTCTGTCTCTGCAGCTGCTGCTGTCAGCAGTTCATACTTCACCACTTCACCTCAAAGCTGCACAGAGCAACCACTTTTTATCTGCCTGGGGAATGAAAGGCACACACACACACACACTGCTGGCTTCACGGACAGCTCTGATTAGAGTTTCAAGTCAAGAGCCATCAGAGAGGACAGGGCAGTAAAGAGTCTACAGTCAGTAAAGTGTGTGTGTGTGCGTGTGTGTGTGTGTGTGCATCTGTTTCTGAGTGAAAATCATGTTGAAACATTGAAGTTGTGAGATCTTTATTGATGAATCAGAAATAAAATGTTTCTGGTTTGTTAGTCACAGAACACCGACCTGCGCTAGTTAACCGTTAGCTAACCGTTGGCTAACCATTGGCTAACCATTAGCTTTGCTAACATGAAGCACAGGCTGCGCTGAACATTTCAGATGTCCATCATTTTGAGCGCAGCGTCAAACATAAACCCCAGTCAATGTATTTTTAAAATGATAATAATGGCATATGTAATTTCATTGGCGCAGCAGCAGTTTCAGTTTTCTCCATTGTGCCTTAAAGCTGCTTAAAGCAAACAAAAAAATGGCGTTGAGTGAAAAGTGAGAACAGCTTGAGAGGAAAAGGGATAAAACTGAAAAAGTTGTCAACATTTTGGAAATATTTCACTAGTTAATAATTATCTATCAGCTGACATGCAACTCTCATATTCTGGCAGGTTTTTCAGCCGTTTCTCCCAGCACTAATCTGACAGGTTTTGTGAAAAATCATGAAATGTCCATAATTTCCTCACCAAGTCAGAGAAATGTTCAGTATACACGCAGATAAAAACCAGATAGAAATATCAACATTTCTGCATAAACAACAAACTTGTGACCAAACGGTCATTCTGTTGAGGCAGCGGCTGCATGTGGAGCGGGCCGCTGCTCTGCAGCTTTTACCGTCATGCTTCAGCCGCCTCGCTAACTAATGAGCTCTTATTTAGCCATCAGCCCTGTTAGCTGCTGTCAGCTCACATGTTCAGACTTCGTTGCTCCGTTGATGAAACGGCTGATGGATCAGAGAAATGTTGATGTGGAAGGAAGAGGAATAAATTTACTGCCTGGACCGTCCTGAGGCCAGAAAGCTGCTGAAGAGAAGCTTTTCACTCTTAAATGCATTTAAACTATTTATATTTTAAGAACATGAAGGTTTGTTTACAGGTTTTAATGTGTGGATTAAAAAAGGGGTTCAGTTTGCCAATTTACATGGTTTTATGGCATTCAGAATAATGCAATTAATTAATTTTTTTACATCCACTGGATCCTTTATATTTTGTTTCTAATACACCTGTAAATCAGACACACTGCTTCATCCGCTAACGGGAGCTTCATCCGCTAACGGGAGCTTCATCCGCTAACGGGAGCTTCACCCGCTAACGGGAGCTTCATCTGCTAACGGGAGCTTCACCCGCTAACGGGAGCTTCATCCGCTAACGGGAGCTTCATCCGCTAACGGGAGCTTCATCCGCTAACGGGAGCTTCATCCGCTAACGGGAGCTTCATCCGCTAACGGGAGCTTCATCCGCTAACGGGAGCTTCATCCGCTAACGGGAGCTTCATCCGCTAACGGGAGCTTCATCTGCTAACGGGAGCTTCTCTGCTCCAACTGGGCTCAATTTCTGCTTCTAAATGATGCAATAGGAAAAAGTGCTAAAAGGGTTCGCCTGTCAGTGAAGCTATGCTAGCTTCTCAATGCTAAACATGTAGCAGCTAATGCTAATGCCAGCATTTCTGAAGCTCCATAAGTTGACTGGATAGAAAAACACTTTGTTCCAGTCTGATCAAGAACAGATTAAAAATTATAAATATCCTTTATTTTGAGCTCCTATAGATATTTATTCAATAATTTAGCAGCAAAAAGTGGCTTTGAATTGAAATGTTACTAATTTTGTGGACTAAAATGAGAGGTTTTGCCTGAACTGTATATTTTTTCTCCCCTCTCCAGATCTGGACGTTCGTTACTTCTGGAAGTGGAGTGCGTTTGAGGATTACCTGCTATTCTGCAGCGGCTTGGCGGCGCTGTGCGCTGCGCTCACGCTGCTGCTGCTGGACTCCGCCGTGTTTGTGGAGGCGCTGGGCTCCCTGGCCGTGATGTTTGAGGCGATGCTCGCCGTGCCGCAGCTGCTGCAGAACCTGCAGAACCGCTCCACCAGGGGAATGAGGTATGGCTCCGCCCGACTCACTGCGGCGCACGGCCGCAGCAGCAGGTTTTATCACTACGCACAAAGTAATTCATTTCTGTTCACTGATTCACAGTGAACCACAAAACTAAAATGTATTTCTCAAAAACCTTGAAAATGACAAAATAAGCCAACAACAAAAAGTATTTTAATGCAGAAATGAACGTCTGGGCTCCTGAGGTTCTCCTGAGGTTCTCCTGAGGTTCTGCTGAGGTTTTGGAAGTCTAGATAATTCTTGGTTCTGGTGGATTTTCTAGAAACGTATTTTCATAAAGAAGAGAACTTCTGACCTCGGAGCTTCCTGAGACGGGCCTGATGTAGTTCCTGGTTCTGGAACAATCTGTTCTGGATTCAACACTATCAGCTTATTCACTTGTACCTTTTTGTAGCTTGTTTACTTTTTCTACCACAGTTTTTCCTTCCACTCAACCTTCCTGTAATGTGCCTTTTTGCAGCACTCTGCTTATTATCTCTAATGTTCCAATGAATCGAGTTTTGGGATTTTTTAGCTGGAAGTCAAACAGAAATGAATCTGTGTGATATTCCTGTTCCCTTTTTGAAATACATAACCTGTTTGATATTTTAATGTTTGCTGCGTCAGATTGTCACGACTGAAACAATAAATTATTATTATTAGGACTAAAAACACAATGCGATCAATGCAACATTTGAAGCTACTTTGATTTGATTCAGTCATTTAACTTCCTCCTCTCTGGTTGCGGTTCTGCCGGCTCGGTTCTCCGGTTCTGCTCTGGGCTTCATTTGGTTCCTAATGGGACAGAACCTCCTGCTGATTGTCTCTATTATTTCCTGGTTATGCAGCTCAAACTGATGCAGTGGTTGTTTGGGAGCGGAAATTCAGCTGTGGTTAAAATAAAAGTTCATGTTTTAAATGGAAACGTGAAGAAAATATTTTCACATTTCTGTTTTATAATCAAACCTCAAGACCACATGATACAAATATACATTTAATAATATGAAATAATACAAGCTAAATGATATTACACATAAAAGATATTATTTTATAGTTACATAAATAATAGGTTAATCTTTTTTGCTGTTGGGGAAATGAAGATATCAGTTATTTTCTGTAAATTTAAAGTTCTTAGCTGATGTTACTTTCAAATAATTAAAATATGTCTCATGTAAAATCCATGTGCTTTATTGGTGCTGCAATAACTGCATGTAAGGCACCTATTACCGTCGATAGAACATTACTGTAGTTATCTATTTTTCCATTTTTCTTCCCACACCGTTAATGCGTCTTGAACCGCTGCGGCGGTTCACTACAGGTACCACAACGGTTCACTACAGGTACCAGAACGGTTCACTACAGGAACCAAAACGGTTCACTACAGGAACCAAAACGGTTCACTACAGGTACCAGAACGGTTCACTACAGGTACCAGAACGGTTCACTACAGGAACCAAAACGGTTCACTACAGGTACCAGAACGGTTCACTACAGGTACCAGAACGGTTCACTACAGGAACCAGAACGGTTCACTACAGGAACCAAAACGGTTCACTACAGGTACCAGAACGGTTCACTACAGGAACCAGAACGGTTCACTACAGGAACCAAAACGGTTCACTACAGGAACCAGAACGGTTCACTACAGGAACCTCAACGGTTCACTACAGGAACCAGAACGGTTCACTACAGGAACCAGAACGGTTCACTACAGGAACCAGAACGGTTCACTACAGGAACCAGAACGGTTCACTACAGGAACCACAACGGTTCACTACAGGAACCAGAACGGTTCACTACAGGAACCAGAACGGTTCACTACAGGAACCACAACGATTCACTACAGGTACCAACGGTTCACTACAGGAACCAGAACGGTTCACTACAGGAACCAAAACGGTTCACTACAGGAACCAGAACGGTTCACTACAGGAACCTCAACGGTTCACTACAGGAACCAGAACGGTTCACTACAGGAACCAGAACGGTTCACTGCAGGAACCAAAACGGTTCACTACAGGAACCAGAACGGGTTCACTACAGGAACCTCAACGGTTCACTACAGGAACCAGAACGGTTCACTACAGGAACCAGAACGGTTCACTACAGGAACCTCAACGGTTCACTACAGGAACCAGAACGGTTCACTACAGGAACCAGAACGGTTCACTGCAGGAACCAAAACGGTTCACTACAGGAACCAGAACGGGTTCACTACAGGAACCTCAACGGTTCACTGCAGGAACCAAAACGGTTCACTACAGGAACCAGAACGGGTTCACTACAGGAACCTCAACGGTTCACTACAGGAACCAGAACGGTTCACTGTAGGAACCAAAACGGTTCACTACAGGAACCAAAACGGTTCACTACAGGAACCACAACGGTTCACTACAGGAACCAAAACGGTTCACTACAGGTACCAGAACGGTTCACTACAGGAACCAGAACGGTTCACTACAGGTACCAGAACGGTTCACTACAGGAACCAAAACGGTTCACTACAGGAACCAGAACGGTTCACTACAGGAACCTCAACGGTTCACTACAGGAACCAAAACGGTTCACTACAGGAACCAAAACGGTTCACTACAGGTACCAGAACGGTTCACTACAGGAACCAGAACGGTTCACTACAGGAACCAGAACGGTTCACTACAGGAACCACAACGGTTCACTACAGGAACCACAACGGTTCACTACAGGAACCACAACGGTTCACTACAGGAACCACAACGGTTCACTACAGGAACCAGAACGGTTCACTACAGGAACCAGAACGGTTCACTACAGGAACCACAACGGTTCACTACAGGAACCAGAACGGTTCACTACAGGAACCAGAACGGTTCACTACAGGAACCACAACGGTTCACTACAGGAACCACAACGGTTCACTACAGGAACCAGAACGGTTCACTACAGGAACCACAACGGTTCACTACAGGAACCACAACGGTTCACTACAGGAACCACACAACGGTTCACTACAGGAACCACAACGGTTCACTACAGGAACCAGAACGGTTCACTACAGGAACCAGAACGGTTCACTACAGGTACCAGAACGGTTCACTACAGGTACCACAACGGTTCACTACAGGAACCACAACGGTTCACTACAGGAACCAGAACGGTTCACTACAGGTACCAGAACGGTTCACTACAGTTACCAGAACGGTTCACTACAGGAACCACAATGGTTCACTACAGGAACACAACGGTTCACTACAGGAACCAGAACGGTTCACTACAGGAACCAGAACGGTTCAATACAGGAACCAGAACAGTTCACTACAGGAACCAGAACAGTTCACTACAGGTACCAGAACGGTTCACTACAGGAATCAGAACGGTTCACTACAGGAACCACAACGGTTTCACTGTAGGAACCACAACGGTTCACTGTAGGAACCAAAACGGTTCACTACAGGAACCAAAACGGTTCACTACAGGAACCAAAAAGTTCACTACAGGAACCAGAACGGTTCACTACAGGAACCTCAACGGTTCACTACAGGTACCAGAACGGTTCACTACAGGAACCTCAACGGTTCACTACAGGAACCAAAACGGTTCACTACAGGAACCAAAACGGTTCACTAGGTACCAGAACGGTTCACTACAGGAACCAGAACAGTTCACTACAGGAACCAAAACGGTTCACTACAGGAACCACAACGGTTCACTACAGGAACCACAACGGTTCACTACAGGAACCACAACGGTTCACTACAGGAACCACAACGGTTCACTACAGGAACCAGAACGATTCACTGTAGGAACCAGAACGATTCACTGTAGGAACCAGAACGGTTCACTACAGGAACCAGAACAGTTCACTACAGGTACCAGAACGGTTCACTACAGGTACCACAACGGTTCACTACAGGAACCACAACGGTTCACTACAGGAACCAGAACGGTTCACTACAGGTACCAGAACGGTTCACTACAGGTACCAGAACGGTTCACTACAGGAACCACAACGGTTCACTACAGGAACCACAACGGTTCACTACAGGAACCACAACGGTTCACTACAGGAACCACAACGGTTTTACTGGTACCAGAACCGTTCACTACAGGAACCACAACGGTTCACTACAGGAACCACAACGGTTCACTACAGGAACCACAACGGTTCACTACAGGAACCAGAACGGTTCACTACAGGTACCACAACGGTTCACTACAGGAACCAGAACGGTTCAATACAGGAACCAGAACGGTTCACTACAGGAACCAGATCAGTTCACTACAGGAACCAGAACAGTTCACTACAGGTACCAGAACGGTTCACTACAGGAATCAGAACGGTTCACTACAGGAACCACAACGGTTCACTGTAGGAACCACAACGGTTCACTGTAGGAACCACAACGGTTCACTGTAGGAACCAAAACGGTTCACTACAGGAACCAAAACGGTTCACTACAGGAACCAGAGCGGTTCACTACAGGAACCACAACGGTTCACTACAGGTACCAGATCAGTTCACTACAGGAACCAGAACAGTTCACTACAGGTACCAGAACGGTTCACTACAGGAATCAGAACGGTTCACTACAGGAACCACAACGGTTCACTGTAGGAACCACAACGGTTCACTGTAGGAACCACAACGGTTCACTGTAGGAACCACAACGGTTCACTGTAGGAATCAAAACGGTTCACTACAGGAACCAAAACGGTTCACTACAGGAACCAAAACGGTTCACTACAGGAACCAGAACGGTTCACTACAGGAACCTCAACGGTTCACTACAGGTACCAGAACGGTTCACTACAGGAACCTCAACGGTTCACTACAGGAACCAAAACGGTTCACTACAGGAACCAAAACGGTTCACTACAGGTACCAGAACGGTTCACTACAGGAACCAGAACAGTTCACTACAGGAACCAGAACGGTTCACTACAGGAACCACAACGGTTCACTACAGGAACCACAACGGTTCACTACAGGAAACAACGGTTCACTACAGGAACCACAACGGTTCACTAC